CTCTAAGAATCAACAGATTCACTGGTGTATCATTTACCCTTGACTTAAAATAGTGATCTTATGTCCAAATGCTGACATCTTAAAATTGACAGTGATATAGTTAAAAATACATTCTGGCTTTTCCATTGGTTTGGCAGTATAAATGACGAGCAACTATTTGGTCTGGATCAAGAAAACTAATTTTGCTAAGAAAGATAGGGAGAGGTTTTTTTTTTTTAGTTTTTTAATAATTAGTATCTTAACAGATTGGTTTGCTATTTTATTCTGACACATGAAAGCAAGATTTATAAACATCCACTTAGGTATTTATCAACAGTTCCTTGGCTGTGCTTATACTGATCGGGTGGTCTATGAACATCACACTCTTTATTTGGATTAGGGAAAAACAGAATTCTCCAGGAATTTTCATCTGCAGCAAAAAATTAGGCACTTCAGTCCTATGGATTGAACATCTTACCAAGATAATGAGCTGCATTCCTCCCTTTGTAGTCCACTGTGGGTGCCTGTTCCTCTTTTCCACAAATTCTTCCTCTACCCCCTTACGCACACATTACTGTTCTTCCTACCACAAATGCACAGAAACAACCATTTTCTTATGCTCTCTTTTCTAGTGCATTTACACTCTTGAAGTCCATCGTTTAGTTGATTGGTAGACTGGCAGGAGTACAATTGTGTAGGAAAGGGAGCATGCTGGAAGGGAATCTTCAAATACTAATCTTTCTCAGCTCACTTCGGCAGTGGGGTTTGGGTGTGTGTATGTAGGTGTGTATTTGTGCATATACGGGCTGCACATTCAGCACTGCTTGCAGTCTTCAGAGCTACAAAGGTTGCCCATTCTTAAATGAATATAGTATCAACAGAATTGTGTGACTGTGAGAAGGCAAGTGGATAATACTGATTTGCTATAATGCTTGTCAGCTTCACTCCCATTCTGGTGGTTTCTCAGTATGTAGCGATGCAATAATTGCTCTGGACCAGTGGTAAATACATTGCTATCTAGAGTATTAAGTGTCTCTGCTTTACTGTACAGCTTTTTCAATTTTGTATCATATGGACATTTTGCACATTGCTGGAACTTGCCATGGTGATATATAATATTGCTGTATCAGCCTGGTTTTTTTTGTTTTTTTTTAGCAAAGTCAATATTGTGGGTTAATTTCTGACACTGCCTTGACAGAGTAGGCATTGTACTTTATTCAGATTATTTACTTTTACCTTTATGTTGTCCAAAAATAGCAGTTTTCAAACTACAGTAGAGTCTCGTTTAACCGACCTTCGCTTATCCGACATTCCGTCTTATCCAACGCCCCTAAAAAAAAACAACAACACGCATAAATT